CCCCGTTTCATTCTGGTACTGAAAATACCAAGATGTTAGTGTTTTATTGTGCCTAAACCTGTTTCTATGTTGTGTTGCAAAAGGTTTTGTTTTGTTTTTTTAATTCAGACTTCACTTACTAAATACAGACTATGATATTTTTAATTTAATTATGGGAAATAATTCTTGATATATCCAATATGTATAAAGCTTTCTCAGTGTAGACTTTGCTATGAAGTTACTGGCAGCTTTTAGACTAACAGTTTCTTCATGGTTAACTTGAGACAGCAGTATTCAAGGTGAAAACGTTCTAGTATTAACTTACTTCCCCATGAAATTTCCAGTGGGCCGTCCTTCACAAAGATATTAACAAGATAATAAGTTATTTTGCTGTAATGGTGGGGGAGGGCACTTCTTTCTCCCTGTGAAATACAAGGGTTTTTCCTATTTTGCAATAGGACCTTTCCTGGCCTGGGCTTGCAGTGGGTGATCTGTTTCACAGACCACGAGCTACTGTGCTGGTAACAGTGAAGGGAGTAGACAAGCTGGCGTTGCCTGTGAAAGGGATTTCTTACCCTATTGAGAATGTGAGTATCCACATTTGGAACTGTCGCATGATTTCTGTGACTTGTGATATAATGAGAGCTACCTGACTCTCTACTGTAGTCCTTGACATTCACTTATTTCTTGCTTTACTTGAAGTTCACTTGTCCCCTAGAATGACGGATCTGTATAGATAAATAATCCAGATTCCTGTACAAGGTGAGAAGCCTTTAAGATCACCCAGGGCCTCCTGTGTTGAGTTCAGTAACTTGTTTGACCAAAGCATGTTCTCCTTGAAAGGTATCTAGTTTTAGTATGTTTGTACCAAGAGGCAGAGAATCCACTGCTTCCCATGTTAAGGTAGTAACTCTGACTATGAATCAATAACTTTTTTTGCTTCAGCTGAGTGTGTGTGATAGCATTTTATATGATGTTGATTCCTTGATGTACTGTATTGCCCTCTAAGCAGTCTTTGAATTTTCTTCAAGTACTTGGCTGTGAAATACAGCACTTTGAGACAACATTGGATTATACTGTATCAAAAAGAAAACAACAAACGACGTTACATTGCCATGTCACTCTCTGTCTTTGCTGAGACTCCTTTCTCATGCTTGTCACAGCATCACAGAATCATTAAGGTTGGAAGGCACCTCTTGAAATCATCTAGTCCAACACCCTGATCAAGCAGGGTCAGCTAGAGTGGGCTGTCCAGGACTCTGTCCAGTCAGATTTTGAATATTTCCACAGATGGAGACTCCACAACCTCTCTAGGCAACCTGTGCCAATATTTGACCACCCTTACAGTAAAAACTCTGTTCTTGTGTCCAGATAGACTTTCCTGTCTTTACATTTACACGTTGCCTTTTCTGTCGTATGGTTTTGTCCAACCTCTTAACGGGAGCACAGTAACTTACAAAATATTGGTAAATGTACAGTGTCTACTCACCTCTCCTTTATAAATACATTGTCTGCTTTAATCCATTTTGGTGCAGTATTGGACCAGTTCTTCATATTGAGCTGTTGTTTGTCCAGCCATGAACCCACAAACCCTTTAGAAATAAGTTGTTTTCCAGGTTATTTCTAGTTAGTTCTGCTTCTGCCCATCTTGGAAAACTTTGTTTTGCACCAGTTTGCCATGCACCGCGGCTCTGTGTGACTGCTGTGCCCCTGTTAAGAATTACTATTTCTAATTTTATTATTTCAGTCAGACTGTGGAATTGTCACTGACAATGTTGAATAGTGTTTTGTTTAACATTGACACCCTGTTGCACACCCCAAGATGAGGTGATGATTTCCATATGAAATTACTTCTACAGCTATCAAGCAATCTTTTAATCTATTTTAAAATATCAGTGTTTAATTGGAATGTTATGTAGCTTTACACTGAACCGGGGTCAAATTCAGCTTAACACAGATCTGCTTTCACATCAGCTTTCAATCACAGCTCACTAGTTCAGGTACAGTTACATGTTGGCATTGCTGAAACGGTATTTGGACCAGAACTGATTTAGGACTGCCTGTGCCTGACTGTGTATTGCTTCTGTATTTGTTGGTCTTGCTTTACTGATAAACAAGACTATATTCTTAGCTTAAGTAAGCCTCTTGGTTACACAATCATGGCCCCTTGGAGTTCTTAAAAATATATTGTCTGCCATATGTACAAATAAATTGTCTGTTCATAGGTACACAGTTATGTTTTGTTTTGCACATTGTCTCCTATTGTTTGTTATTATCACTTTGGAAATATTCATACTCTCTGCTCAAAAAGAGGTTGTCCTATTTTTCCAGTCTTCTGTAGTTAAACGGATTATCTCCTTTTATATCATTAGGCCCTGTTTTACCCAAAAATCTAACTAGATTTTGTCTTCCAGGCTGTTCCTTTCAGTCTTGACAGTGTTGCGAATGCTATTCATACTTTGTTCTCTGAGGAAACTCCTGTGGTCTTGCAGCTGGCCCCCAGTGAGGAAGTGAGTATTGTTTCACTTCTGATTCCAGTTGTTCTAAATAGTAAACCTTTTTCCACTTGTGTGGCTGGAGCAAAACCATTTGGTTATATGAAATACTTTGCATTGGAGAGAGATAGCAAGTATGACTGATTATTAATGTGTGACTAGAAAAACTAATGTCTGTTGTTAGTAAACAATGGCTGTTCCCGCAGAGAGTGTACATGGTGGGCAAGGCAAACTCTGTATTTGAAGATCTTTCTGTCACACTGCGCCAACTGCGAAACCGCTTATTCCAGGACAACTCCATTCTCAGCTCCCTTCCTCTCAACTCCCTCAGCAGAAACAATGAGGTAAAAAAATTCAGTTGGAACTTTCATGATTCTTTTGCTAATATTAGTTAGCTTGTGCCCAGGAGAGCTCGCTCCATTTTTTTTTTTTCTACATGAGTTTTAAGTTCTTTTTTAAGTAGCTTTCTTGAAAGACTAATTTCCTTCTAGTGTGTTCTGATGTTGTAACAGACATAACCTGTTATAAAATATTGAGACTTGCAACAAAATGAGACTTCTATAACTTTACGTTTCATCAAAGGAAATACCTCTTTCTTTCTTCCTCCCTCTTCCCCCAGGTTGACTTGCTTTTTCTGTCAGAACTACAAGTCCTACATGATATTGCAAGCCTGGTAAGTTTTTCTGAAACACTTTCCCCATCTTCTGTCACAAACTTCAGAGATCTTATTTAATGGTAGAGAAGCCGTAGCCAGGATACTTGGCAACCAGTGATATACATTCAAGTGTGTCATCAGTTGGTTGCATCAGTTTAGATAATGGATTCTGAAGCTCTTTATACCAGCCCTGCCACTGATGGAAGAAAATGAGAACCTTAATCATCTGTAGTTTCTTTTGTATTGTGTTTGGTAAGAATGGGGGAATTCTGGGCTGCTATTTCTCCATACCCAAAGACACAGGAGGTACTCAGTGAAGAATTTGCTGGGGTTTTCCTTGTTTTCTTACTTGGGAAGTACAATGGTAGTTAAGAACATGTTCTTTGCCCTGTTTACCATTTTACTTCAAAATACCACCATAACATTTTATCTGAAAAGACTGGAGTGACTTTTGTAGCGTGAATAGTGGTGGTGCTAGAAGTGTTCCAGTGGAGGGGTTGAGTTTTTAATTTTGATCTTTTTAAGCAAAAAGCTTCTTACGGTCTTTTTACAAAGAAGCTTCTGTCTTGTTGCTGTGGTTTAGGGTTTGTTTAGGGGTTTGGTGGTTTTTTGTGGGGTTTGTTTCGGTGGTTTTTTGGTGTGTGTGTGTGTTGGTGGTGGTTTTTTGTTTTTGGTTTTTTTTTTCCTTTAAGCTGTAGTCCTCAGCTACTTAAAGTAAAAGAAAGAATCATGAAAAATTTGGAAGTTCATGTTAGGTGAAGGGCTGGTGGAGAGAAATGGGACTCTTGAGGAAACAAGGCTGAACAACTTATTTTTGTCTTGCAGACTAGAAATGCTGTAGTTAAAGTAGATGGTGAAGATGGGACCAGATTATATTCCTTGCTTTCAGAGACTGTTCTCTTGTGCAGACAAATGTCAGTGCTGCAGCTTCACCTGCAGAAGTGCAAGAATATCACTAATCGCCTTTAAGATAATTTGGATTATATTGGTTGGATTTTATGACAATGGGATGATACTTCTTAAGTAAACTACGTTTGTGCACGGGCAACAGCAAGGTAGAAGTTGCAACCTACTGAGTTTTGCAAGGACCAGCTTCAGTGGAGGGAATAGTAGTATTGAAGTATTGTAGTTACTATTTCTTTCTCCAAGTTTTATTTTTATGGCAATTACAGAACAACGATTCTGATGTGAATAAGTAAAATGTTTCTTTTTAGTAGCACTCTATTACGTGTGCATAACCTCATGTTAGGAATAGATGCTGCATGATGATCAACTGCTTTCTTCTGTGAAATAAGAGAAGAAACAATTGTGGATGTCTTCTGGTTAAGTTGGCAAGACATTCCACTTCCTAATCAACATGTAATATGACTGTGGAAAGTGAGGCTGGATTAGTCCCAGCAAACTGATTTTGTGAAATGTGTTTTTTAAAGTAGCCTATGCATGAATTAATTTCTTTCTGCCCTCAATTTCTTTCTGCCAAAGCTGTCTCGACACAAGCACTTAGCCAAAGATCACTCTCCAGACCTGTATTCTCTGGAACTGGCTGGTTTGGAAGAGGTTGGAAAACGATATGGGGAGGACTCTCAGCAGTTCAAGGATGCTTCTCAAATTCTTGTAGACTCTTTGCAAAAGGTATACTTTCTACCTAATGAACAAAACTCATAGGAATACTGAGGAAATAATTTTTGTGTTAGCTACAAGGGAGCTGGTTTATTGACTGTCTTCTGCTTTGAATTGTCACTTTATTAGTGACGGCTTGACTGATTCTTGGTTTTGGTTTTTGGTTTTTAAACTGCAGTTGTTTAATTATAAAATCAAATGTTACAATTTGTCACTCTGGAAAGTGTTGACGTGATTCTACAATGCATTAGATATTTCACGTAAAGGAGTAGGAATATATTGAAACCATATATCAACATGACTAGATATGTTTGTTTTTCCTAAATAAATACCACTCATTTAAAACCACCAGTATGTGTCTCAAAAACTGGCTCTCAGAAATGTGGAAATATCTTTATCCCAGGGTACAGTGGTTAGTTTCCCCTTGCCCACAAAGCTCTATAAATCTAAATTTCCCAGCCTCCAAAATAACTGCTGTTCATCTAATCAATGTACTCAAGAAAGTAATTCTTTAGCAGTTTTATGTAATCAGTAGATAAAATCTTTATTAAGACCACTTTTCAGAGTTTCAAAAGCATGAATTTGCTAAGTCAAATAACTGTTTTCTCTAAACATTACTCTTCAGCCTCTTTGCAGTTAAGCGAATGTATTTCAATACTAGATGTATTAGTCTTTGGACCAGATTAACATTTTCAGGTTCATAATTTCCCAGTGGGAGATTGAGAACCTAAATATGTTGTTGGAACTGACAGGCATACAACGGGGAAACTATATGGTGATGGGCCTTTTGTAAAAGG